TGAGAACATCCTTGATAGGCATACTATATGAACATGAAAATGAGACCGTTTCTTTTGAGAATTAGATGAGTTATTTAAATTGTTTATGAAAGTCAAGATCAAGCATAAAGTCATAGAAGCCATTTGTCTACTCGTTAGAGTTTGTGTTTTTTTAAAAACACACGAAGCAAACTTTTGATTAACAAAAAAACAGCTATTTATTGTGCATTGTCCCACAATAAATTGTGTGAAACGCAAGAAGATGAAAAGGCAAAAAAATACTGCTTTCTTGCGCGGCTTTTAAATTCAACCATAATACACTATTCACTAAACAGTGTATCATGCCTCCACTATTCACTGAATAGTAGAGGTATGTGTCCATTGTTCAGTGAATAGGGAAGGCATACTCTACTGTTTATTGACTGTGGAGCATGTGAACAGTACAAGAGAATTGTACTATTCATGTGATTATTTTTTTTAATATTAATTTTTTTAATATTTTTTTTAAAAAACTGAACAATGTATCATGCCTCCACTATTCACTGAATAGTAGAGCTATGTGTCATTTGTTCAGTGAATAGGGAAGGCATAGTCAACTGTTTATTGAACTGTGGAGCATGTGAACAGTACAAGAGAATTGCACTGTTCACGTGATTAATTTTTCCAGTCTTAATTTTTTTAATATTTTTTTTAAAAACACTAGTGAATTAAATTTATTCTACTGTAATATCAATTTTATTCATGATAATATTTTATATACGCTTAAAAAATTATAAAAATTGTAGTTTTTAATAATGTGCTAACTTCAAAACTCATCACATAATATCTAAATATTGTTTCTGTGTTATACAATATTTATCTCTCATAAAAAAACCTTAGTCTATAAAATGATTAACTACTGACTTAAAAGTAATATTGTTGAAGTACTAGGTATGGGTTCAAGCTATTAGCACCTTTATTATTATATAATATGTTTGTTTCCTTGCCTAAACATATGACTATTATTTTTATAAAAATAAGTGGGGAATTGTTAGAATATTTTTATAAAAATTTAAAATTTTAAGAAGTTGTTATAAGAAAATAATTACCCTTTTAATGTTTTGCTCTTGCAATACTTTATATGCCTTTTAATTACATGCATTTACAGAGCATTATATGATTTTTAATTATAAGTTATAAAGCATTAATTCTTTTATTTTCATGTTACAAAATGTTATATGCCTTTAATTGCAAGTTATAAAATATTATGCATGTTAGAGAATAATATAAATCATATCTTGGAACCTCATCTAATAGTTTAAACTTTTGGGTTAAGATGGTTCTTTAACATGGTATCAGAGTCTTGATAACCAAGCGATCACGAGTTCAAATCTCACCATCCTTATTTTTTTGATAAAAAATTAAGCACAAGATAATATGGACCTGTATAAGTTGCAAGTTCAAAGGGCTTTTACTTGATAAAGTGTATTAGAGAATAATATAAATTATATCTTGAAATCTCACCTAATAGCTTAAGTTTTTGAGTTGAGATAATTTTTTGACAATACATAACAATCATTTTCTTTAAAAATAATTATTAAATCTTTAATAATTTAGAATTTAAATATTTATACTCTCCTACCTATATATAAATATACAACAACATCTTAAATATCTATTCATTATATTATCTATAAAATCTTTCTCCCAGTAAACCAAATCCATGTTATTTTGTTGTTACATTTGAGCAAGAGGGGTGCCATTCTTTCTAGAGTTTCAAGTCTTATAAGTAGTGAAAGCTTACGAGACTAGACAAAATAGGTAAGCTTTTTGTATCTCTAAAATGTCTTGCAACACTTTCTTGATTCGATGCATCAAAATTTTTGTGAGCAACGTGTATTGTTTTAAGAAAACAACATGTTTATATCTCAAGTTAGTAACATAAATAATTTTATTAAACTATTTTTTTTGGTGTTTTCCATTTATATTATTAGGTTTTATTTTTATAATCTCTAACAAATTGTGATATGTATTATTAAATAACCAAACACTTTCAACAATGTGGTTATAACAAAATGTAGCTTTAATTTTCAATCATATCTTTTTTTATTAATATGGATATTAGGGTCAGTTTATATATATTTTGATTAATTTTTTAATTTTTTAAATTAATAATTATATAATTCTTTAATAATCTTAAAATTTTATAAAATTTAAATTAATAATTTAAAAAATAAATAAATCTATAGCCCCACGGGTTAAGATTTTCAACCGTGCCTTGCAATACTGCTAGATGTACCGTTATTACTTGTTCATAGCAGTCGTAGTTTCTTCTTTCAACAAAGAAAATCATTTTGGTTCATTTACCACGCATCTTTCATGACTCGAACCCAGCCCTAGAACTAGAATATGAACTAGCTTCTAACCCAGTACCAGAACCATCACCCGACCCAGATGAAAAAGATGATGAACTGGAATTGCAGCGAGAGGATCTAGAACCTGAACCTGCTCCAGCACAAGATCCTCATCCACCACCACCCAGCCCATTACCCAAACCAACTCCCGACCCTCCAAGGTCCATGCCCAAGTCCTTTCTTGCAACCCGGCATTCACCGACGGCTAAAGATGCAACATGGAGGCCTAGAATTGCTAAACACTTCAAATTGCCCAAATTTTAAGCCGAGAAACCAAAGGTCCAAAGTACCAAGTACTATGTATGCATGTGTATACTATATAAGAGTATTCTTTTAGTTATTAGAGATTACAAGTTTTTGTGGGAGGCGAGTTGATAGATGGTGCTATATTTACACTTGCAGATAGTGAGGTTTGGGAGTTGTAGTGGGCATGATAAAAGGTGTAGGCGTGGGGATTGTATCAGAAAGTAGAGGAGGGGACACCATGTGCTCATTTTCTTCATGAATTATTACGCATTGCCATGTGTAATGTGAACATTCTTTTTGTAAATTCCATTGGTTTACAAAAATTTGTGGACCAAAAAGCTGAGAAATGGATTGCATAACTGGGAGATGATTTTGGAGTATGATAAGCTGGACACAACATTATGAAGGTGCCGTCCCATTATAGATCGTGGAGTGTTGTCGATCTTTACTGTTGGATGCTGCTGATTATGGAGGAAATTAAAGAAAGTATTGCTTAATACATGTTAGATGTGCTAGAGAAGATAATGACTGGAGTGTTATTAGTCAACTTAGAGGATATATATTCACACACACACTTAAATCGCTCATAAACTACATGGTATTTTATTAGAATTGTATGTTGACTATGAAAACTCCAAAATTGTTTAAAAATGGGACAACAGAATCCAATATTTAAAAGTTGAAAAATAATAAATCATATGATTAGTTTTAATACTAATAATAATAATAATGATCTTTTGATATTATTACATGGTAATATAAAATCTCTAATTATTTAATATTGAAGTTGAAATCATTATTTAATATAATATCGATCATAGTTTAAATTAACTAAATAATTAAGAGTTTCAATCATAATATTCTCACTTTCTCTTTTCATTAAAATTTAACAATCAAATACAATATAATGATAGATATGTTAATGTTTTCCATCTAAATAACTTTTTCGGGTGTTAAATAGTAATATAAAATTTATTCAATATTTTAACTTTTTGGATTGATTTCTATAGATAATGATGATGATGATGATGATAATTGAATTAGTTTCATCATTAAATATTAAATTGGATGGGAATTAAGTTTTTTAATTAACCTCGGATTTAGAATTTCATAAATTGCGAGTTTGAGAAATTAACCATGTTTAAGAGTTTGTTTGAGTTTGCTTCTTTTTTTTTTAATTTTTTTTTAAACTCATGTTATTTCAATTTTATCTTTCAATATTTATTTAATTGAAGTTATTTTTTATTTGCTTTCTATAAATTGTTTTCGGTTTTGAAAATAACTCGGGTTGTCTTGAGTCTTTTTATTTGTTATTCTTTGTTAAATTTAACTTTTTTAAAATAAATTTTATTTTTAAATTAGACTAAATTAATTGATTAAATATAAGCATGAGATACTCACTTCATTGCTCTGATAATGTATGTTCTTTCAAATTGTTTGATTTGTTTTCTGGATCATTGCTCTAACAATGCATGTAATCTCTTTTTGTGTCATCGTGTAGCTTTTCACAATAACATTGGAATCTTCTCAGTAAACTCTTCTAGTGATGGGTGGTGTTTACAACAGAGCAGCGATGAGTCTCTAATAAACCCTTCTTTTTCTTTCAAGTATAATATTATGCGATGAGTCTCTAATAAACCTTTCTTTTTCTTTCAAGTATAATATTATCAACTTGTTTTTTATATTAGTTATTGCTATTTTTTTGTTTATTTTATTTATTATCAATACTATATTTTTAATAATATTATTAAATCAATCAAATTTATTAAATACAATCAAGTTAATCATCTATATCTCAATTTTTTTCATTTATAAAAGCACTAGTGTCATCCTAACTTTTTTTTATATTAAAAAAAATGTAACTCGACCCATCACGCGAGAGACTATTTGATATATCATAATTCATATTCATCAAAAAGGTATATCCTAATTCATCATTTTCTAAATGATAGCCTCCGCTAGCCTGCTTAAAAGATCAAGATCATGGTATTAGATTGTCCTTACAGGATGCTATTAGCCTAATAAATTTTGTTCTTGGTATTTTCTACAATGCTGTTTTGGAAAATCCCAAAAGCTTTGATCTGACCACGGACTACTGAAATAATTTATTAAGTTTTTTGAAGCGGTTTCTATTTTTTTTCCTAAACATATGTGCTGTTTTTCTAAGTAAATTACACTCATAAACTTAAAATATGTAAATATTAATGTATTTTACTTTCTGAATATAGCTTAATGATTGTGTATTTGGTAAGTTCGATCGAGTCTTAATATATATATATTAAAACACAGTTATTCTTCGTCTATAGTCATAAAAGAGGAGCAAAAATACTTAGAATATGCGCTTTGCGAGAGAGAGAGTTTTGATGGATCAAACATCCTTACACGTCAAAGTACGAAATAATTGATAGAGAAAGAAAAACGGTACAAAAATAAAGACGAAAAAGGAGCAACAAAACACAAAACACCACGATGATTTTCAACCAACATTCTTAAATAAAACATTTCAGACAGTAGATAAGGTACAAAGAGAGTACAATCCATTCGTACGAGCGCAAACAGTCACACTACCATATGCAGTTCTCATTTATTCTTCTTTCAACAAACCATGTCCTCCATGCTCTTTAACCCCGACCGTTTCTTGAACCGGAGCCAGCCCTAGAACCAGCATATGAACCAGCTTCTGACCCAGCACCAGAACCACCACCCGACCCGGAACTAGAACTTGATGAAGAAGAAGATGAGCTTGAACTTGAACTAGACCCAGACCTAGAACCCGAACCCGAACCCGCTCCAGCACCGGAGCCTGATCCACCACCACCCAGCCCTATACCCACTCCACCACCCAGCCCTACCCCTAACCCTCCAAGATCCAGGCCCAAGTCTTTTCTCGCAACCCGGCTTTCACTCACAGCCGAAGTTGCAACAAGGAGAGCAAGAATTGCTAAACACTTCAAATTGCCCATTTCTTGAGCCTAGCAACCACAGGTCCAAAATTATCAGATACTATGTATGTATACTATATGTAAGAGGAATGTTGTTTTAGCTATGTATCTATTACACTCTCAAGTTTTTCGTGAGGGGAGAATGGAAAGATAGAGCTATATTTATACTTGTGTATAGTGAGGTTTGGTGGAGTTTATGGTACCACTTAAAATTAAAGATGGTAGGCGTGCAGACTGTAGCAGAAAATTAGTGGAAGCTGGAGACCTGCTAGTTAATTTTCTTTATTTATGAATTATATATCATGCATTGCCAAGTGTATGCGATATGAACATTTTTTAAATTAGTGTTGACCAAAGTTTGTGGCTAACAAAAGCTGAGAATCGGATTGCAATGCGCGTCGGACATGAGTTAATTTATGAAAGATGGTGCCTGCCGTCCCATGAATCTCAAACCCACTATAGATAGTGGAGCTTGTTTGGTTGGATTGTACTGTTGATGTTGCATTGAAGGAATAGAATAATGCTTATACATTTTATAGATAGAATAGTATCGTTTGCTTCAAAGGATATATTAGAAGACACTGGAATGATCAAAGATTTAACTATCATAATACGTTACATCCTACAAAAAATAGTTCATCTTAAATAAATTATTTGAGATAGAATATTCACATATATTGACTATTATGATAATCTTTTATGCTTAAGTGCTGTGTTATTTAATAAAAAGATTATCAAAATTATATGGGAGACAAGTATGTAGGAGGGCATATGAACCTGTTAGGGGATGCTATCTAGCATATTTAATAAAAAGATTATAAAAAATAGTTTTTATTTATTTATTTTTGTGCGTGGAAGGGCTAGATACTTGAGCATTTTGCAGTTTAATATGTTTACAAATTAAATTCTATATGGGACAAAAGAGTGTAGCACCGCAGCATGCAGTCTTATCTTTCCTTACGGTCAACTTCACCGAGTTCACGATCCACTCACTCGCTGCCAAGAAAAGTCATCTTCCATAATGAGTCTTGCATTGCAAGCAATAGCTGTCCTAGCTAGCTACTTATGTGTTCAGTTCAATTGGGTACACTGTAGCTTTTTTCTGTCAATTCCAACCACAAAATTTGGAAATGGAAGATTCTAGAATGCATTTACCCTGTGCTGGAAATTAACTTATTTAATTAGAAGAAATGAAGATGGATAGAACTTCTAACCATTTAGTTAACGGGATTTTGGTATCGCTTCTTAAATTTTTAAGCATATTCTTCTTTGATGTACGTTGTGATATTATATTACAAATTTTGTTTCGTAAAAGAAAAATACATGTCTTGTTAATCATTGATATTGTAGATCATATATCGTTCGAGCTACTAGTACAATTTTGTGAACAATCAAGTCTGCATGATTGAGATTTGTTCTTAAATAGTTGTTTTTATATTAGAAAGAAGATATTGAACTTGTTCTGGGATATTTCTGTTTGATAAGCCTCGTGTCCTACGGATTAAAGTATGGTAGAGTTCAAGAAGATAAAGGAATGGTTATTTTTGTATTTTAAAAATATTTTTGAAAATATTTAAAATATTTTATTTTATTTATTTATTTTAAATTAATATATTTTTTATTTTTTTAAATTATTTTGATGTGATGATATCAAAAATAATTTTTAAAAATTAAAAAAATTATTAACATGTATTTTAACACGAAAAATTATTTAAAAAAAAACTACAATTACAGTACCAAACAAAATCAAAATGTGATAATAATTAAAACCTAATTATAATTAATAAGTCAAAGAAAGTAATAACAAAAATACAAATAAAAAATATTATGTTGCATTCAACAATGTTGATGATAAAAATAATTTATTAATAATTTTAAATAATAAAAAAATATTTAAAAAATTTCATATGCATTTTTACTTGTCAAATCACCCAACGAAAATACCAAAAGCAATTTTGTTGGTGATTTGAAAAAAATCTGACAACTCTTATTCAAACACAACCTCCACAAATTTATTGATCTCATTTCAAAATTAAGCCAAAACCCCCACCTCTCTCTTTCCCTCCCTAAAACCTCCATCCATCTTCACAAGTTGGGCTACCATATCTCGCCAGTGCCAGGCAACAACTCTCCCAATTAAGGCCTATTCAAACACAGCCTTCTTTGGTTTCTTTTCATGTCAAGCTTTACTTCACCAAGCCACAAACCTGTCCATTTATATTTTAAGTTAATCTATTAAAAATGTTTTGTAATATTTGTAATTTACTTTGTATTTTACTTGTTGAACATATCAGACTTTGGTGAATTAATATAGAATTTGTATTTTGGAGTTTGTTTGAACTTGAATAATTTTTACCTGATGTAATTTTATAACTTAGAGATGTTAGAATTGAAAAAATAATTGATAATTTAATGAGTGTCAATTATTATTTTTTATCAATTTTATGGTTAAGTTCAAAATTTAGAAAAAATTCAATTTATGTGGAATTGATAATAATTTGGGTGTTAATTAAA